AAGAAGAAGAAGAAGAAGAAGAAGAAGAAGTAAGTAAGTAAGTAGTAGTAGTAGTAGTAGTAGTACGTAGTACGTACGTAGACGACGACGAGACGAGAGAGAGAGAGAGAGAGAGAGAGAGAGAGAGAGAGAGAGAGAGAGGGAGAGAGAGAGACATTCACAATGGGAGCCAAAAGCGAAGCTAAATTCGCAAACGCCATGGGTGCATGTCGATATTTATGTAAACTTTGGAGGACAGCTTCGTAATTTGGATTCCGGCGGTTCTCAAACCGCGCAGAGGCGGTCGGATTTTGTCATTTCGATATAGGTGAGCGTGCTTTGTTGTACATAAAAAGAAAATGACGAAAGTAACCCTATTCTTTTTAATCAAAGACGGTTTCAATCTTCTAATCTTTTGATCTTGCTCTCTTGGCTCTCCAGTAGGCTGCAAATGGGCTGGGTTGAACACGACCAATTCTGATAAGATCTAGGCCTCACCTAGACCCAGCTCGTCTTAGATACTTTGGACCCCTGTGTATGCATGAATATAAATATAAAAAACGATTGGCTCGAGGTCTACGCCTCGATCATTTCTTATATTTATGGAGGACAATTTAGTATTATAAAGAAGTAAGAGAAACCGGCCGTTACTTTTTATAAAGACAATTTTATCCCATCCTTTTTAGCGAAAGGAAAATGATTTCTTCACTATAAAAAAGAACTATGAGTTATTGCATGGCTGCCTCACGGCAGCGAAAGCGGTAGTCAAGGTCTAAAAATATATCATTTTATTATGAGATAATTAAATGGCAGTTATCACTTTAATGGCAATTTCAGACTTTGTGCATGCATGTGTGTTTCTTTTCTCTCTAATTATTATTTTTCATTTCCACCTGTCATAGGAGCTAATTATCATCCAAAAAATAGAAAATATTCAAAATCTTAAGATTGTAAATGATATGGTTAGGTAAGAAATTCAAATTTTAAGGACAAGTTCATGGTATGGACTTTGGCAAAATACAAAAAATGTGCATGCAATTTGGCTTAGAACAAATAAAGGCCACTTTTATCTATGAAATTGAATACAATGAGACAATATACTTTTAGTGCAAGACGATCAAAATTATTTATAACCATCCCATGTGAAATTTGATAGGTTGGATGTATTACAAAGGTAGAGAAAATTTATTTTTAAGTTTCAATTTAGTTAATAAAATAAATACAGCCATCCAATTTCACATCCAATAATCAAAATTAATTGTGCGCACTTTGTTCTAAAGGTAAATGATCTCATTACATATTTTTCCTTGGGGATATTAAGGTCAAATTGTCATTCTTTATAAAGATATGGCTAATCTCAATTCTCCTTATGGTACATGCACGATAATCCTTAAAGCATGGGAAAATACATCATACTCCATGCGCTTTTAGGGAGCACACATAGGGTTTAATATTGATTATAGAATACCATACTCCTAAAATGCTGACCATAAAATACTCGTGCATTATTCCTTGGGAATGGGAAATTGTGTGTGGTAATTTTTGTGTTCTATGTGAATGAAGTTTGAAATTAAAACAAGATTCTCTTTGATCCTTTTTGACAATCTAGGATGAGTTTTAAACTACCTATTATATTATTACATTCAAAATAACGATTATATAAATAAATGGGATTTATAGTCAAAATTTTAGGAGTAAAGTATTCTAGTATCACCATTAGAATGGTGATATTGTAGATAAGCTTAACCTTTATTATTATACTAAAACAATTTTAGCCTTACCGCAGTAAAGGTGGGAGTCGTGAGGTTTGAGGTCTAAATATATTTCATTTAACTATGAAATAATTAACATAAATTACGAAAATCGTCCATTATTTTTTAGGTTATTGGAAAAAAACAAATTTAAATTCTCTAAAACCTTATTCATACTCCTTTTCATCATTTTGTTTTTATTTTTATTTTACTAAAATACTTTTCACAGTAGTCTTAAGTTTGTAAAAGCATCATGATTAACTCATAGCCGTGATGGTCATAAAAGGTTCAAACCATCTTCATGTTGGGTTTAAGGCATCACTGTTCTAGCATAACCATGATGCTAAGTCACCATTTGAATGGTCATGGAGCTTTGGCATTTATTTAACCATCACAGTCCTTCAAACATCACGATTCCACTTATTCAACCATCATAGTTTTTTACTAACCATTACAATTTGCGATAACATCACGGTTTTTTTAAGTACAGTGATGATTCCAACATCACGGTTCTGTTGATTTAAAACCAACATGAAGAGGGTTTGAACCCCCTATGACCATCACAGCTCTAACTTAACTATTATGCCATTACGGATCTAAGACTACTGTCATGAAGGGTATTTTAGTAAAAAAAAAATGAATAGATGTAAAATTGAGTATGATTGAGGTTTTAAAAAAGGGAAAATATAGAATGCGATCATTTATCTTTGGTATAAGGTGGTCACATTAATTTTAAGTATTTGATGAGAAATTGGGTGGCTGCAGTTATTCCATTGACTAAGCTCAAACTTCAAAATAATTTTTCTCAAACTCTGTGACACATCCAAGCTATCAAAGTTCACTTTGGCTCGTTGAAAGTAATTGTGACTATCTTGTATCAAAAGTAAATGGTTTCATTATATACAATCCTTTTAAAAAATTTGTAGTTTTTTTTTTATAACCTAAAAAATAGATATTTTTTATAATTTCCCAATAATTAAATGATAGTTATTGCTTGAATAAAATTTCACGCTTTTTATGTGTCTTTCACTCTCATCAAATATTATTCCTTGACACCACCTGTCACACATCTAGTTATCATTTGACAAATGGAAAATATACTAAAGCTTTAGATAGTAAATTATGGTTAGGTAAGAAATTCAAATTTTAAAGTAATTTCATGCATGCAATTTGGGCAGTAAAAGAATGGGTGCGTGCAACTTGGAAAGAAGCAAGAGAAAACACTTTTATCTTTAGGACATTAGGGTGCAAATTGTCTTTCCATAAAAAGACATGGGTAATATCAGTTTTTCAAATGGGTACATGTTTTATAATCTTTAAAGCTATTTAAAAAAATTGGAAAAGAAAAGGTATTTTTAGGACCTAGAACTAAGCAACTTATCAAAATGGACGGCCTATGTTAATTGGGCTAAAAAAATTATTTCTAGGTTGTATTTTTTTTTTTTTGTGATTGTTCATTAGAATGAAAATATTGTATATATTAAAATTTGGATCAAACAAATGGCCTTGACATAGTTTTTGAAGATTGTTGCATCATATTATTATTATATATATATATATATATAGGAAAAGTCTTCCCAATGTTTATAGGTGAAAATGAACAATGATTTCACTTACCTTTATCACTGTCCAAAGTTCATCGCACAGTCACGATTATCCAGTAGTGTTTCATTTTTTATTTTTTTTTCTACCAATTGGAATAATCTGAAATTTGGAACTTGTGTACATCTTAGTGAGACGCACTTAATAAAAATATAAAAATACTAATAATTCCCAAAACAAGTTGATCAAAATACCCCCAAAAAGTTTTGGGGATATTTTGGTCAATTTTTTCATATAAAATATTTTTTTAATTTTTTCATAAATTCGCCTATATTTTATGAACACACGCTTCAAATTTCAGGTCATTTCGATTTGTAGAAAAAAAATGAAAAATAAATACGGCTGGACAATTGTGATCATGCAATGAACTTTGGACGGTGATGAGGGTAGATAAATCACTGTTCATTTTCACCTATAAGC